CGAGAGGGGGGAGAGCGAGGGAGAGGGGGTACGCATCCAGGGCTGGATTGTGCCTGAAATGGGTCAGATTAAAAAGACACGAACCGGCTGACTCTTGCTGGAGATGGGGACCTTTCTGAAGACTGAGAAGTCTTTTTCTTTTTCCTCAACCAAAACCTCAAACACGAGACAATCAGCCTCCCGACTAAACGAGCTTTAGGGAGCTGCTAGAGTGACGTGCGGCGCATAGAAGAACCACCTGCCTTCTTCTTCTTCTTCCCCTGATATACAGTGAGACTCATGTAAAAGTGGTAGTGTGTCAGCCGCATGAGAGGAGAGAGGAGGCATCGCGCGTTTTTTGGTCCGAGGGCGTTGATCGTGGACAAGTCGGGGAACTGCATTCAAGCTCAAGTTAAATGGAAAATACAGCGTATGATCTTCTCAGTGGGATGTATGACTTCAAAAGAAATAGCCTCGCGAGGTGCTGCCAGCGTTGCTTTCTTCTTTTTCCGTTGTTGTATGTGTATTTTGTTGGGGGGGCAGGCTGATGTTGTAAATCGAGCGGACAAAAGCGAGAGCACTTGTGTAACTTCAGCTGTCATTCTGTGCCAGGAGATGCGCAAAAGACGCACAGCCAAGGAGAGAGGGTGTCGGTAAACGGTACTGTGCTGAAAACGAGACTTTTTCCTCAGGTGCTCTGCTTTACGTCCTTTTATGGGCTGATAGGGGGGGGGGGGGGTTGACGGCTGTGGCGCAGTGATATCAATATTTCTTTACGTGGAATCCAAAAGATGCGCAGGACAAGAGTGTGGCCGCGCGCGTTATTGCTGGCGTGGGCTATAAATGGGCTTTAGATTCGAGTGTCCTACATGCCTGTGTGTGTATGTGTGTGTGTGTGTGTGTGTGATTGTGTTGCAAAATCGGCTTTTAGATTTGTGTACGTACGTGTGTGTGTGTGCGCCCGAGCGCGTGCACGGAAACGGGAGCTGTACTTAAATCGTAGTCATGCGGTCTCGTGCTGGAGGGGTTTGAGCTCGCGGAAGTTCATTCTGCGCCCGTCAGCGGGGCGAGCAGGCGACTTCTTCCAGGGTTGTCCCTCTGCGTGTTCACAGCGGACCTTGATTTAATGTCCATACAATTAAGGCACGCGGTGAATGCCAAGAGAGGAATCTACACACGGCATCTTCATCTTCATCATCGTCGGTGTCGCCTCATCGGGCCGCGTGCAGGCTTTTGGGTTTTTACGCGCTTTGACCCTTTACCGGCACAGAGACAGGCCCCGGCTTTAGCAGCAGGATAAACCTGAACTGCTGTACTGTCACGCAACTGCGCGTGAGTGTGCACGCGGAAGCATGTATCAGCGTGCCTACGTGTGTGTGTGTGTGTGTGTGTATGTGTGTGTTGCTTTGACTGGGTGGGCGCAATGCGTAGTTTGATAGGCTGTTACAGCATTAAATGAGGTGACCGCCAGAAAACTTACATCGCGACGGAAATATCGGTGTTAAATAAATAAATATGAATAATTTCAAACCTCCTCGTGCATAATACGAAGCAGGTTTAACGCAAAACAATTGGACTTTCGCCAAGTGGGGTCAACGGCCTAAACCTCTGGATTTTACTGAAACATCTTCCGGGAGTTATTCGCATGTATGGTATTCTTTACTCCATTTTTATTTTTAGTAAATGTAGGATTTGGTTGAAAGGCTGGCTTCATGTATAAGCACGCAATGTTCATCTATTCGGAATTTAAAAAAAGATCTGTTTATTGTGAGGCATCAGGTTAATTCATTCTAAAGTGGGCGAGTGGACCTTAATATAAAATGTAAAAAATAATCTATATTTATAATTCAAATGCACACTAAGCCTGGCTAATGCTCCTGATGGCTACGTGTGCAGTGTCCGGTGATGGAAACATCAGCCGCTCCATCCTCTCCACCTTTAGGAGCCATGTTTCTCTCCGATCGTCTTATTGTGAAGGTTTAACATATTCTACTGAATGTATCAGAGGCCAAACACGAGGCTCGCGTGCTACAGGCTCAGTAATACATTATTTCATAAACAAAAGTAGGCCAGCCTCACAGCTCAGGCCTACACACTCGACGATGGCTGCAGCGTTTTAGTCGGATGGAGTCAACATGTAGACATTTTCAGGGATTTGGCGCCACCTACAGGCCGTGGGGACTCAACACTATCATGAAATAAACTTAAAGCTTTTACAGACTTCACTGGAGGAGAATAACGCATCAGACTTCATCCCCTCAATCCTTAACGGAAGATATTAAATCTAACAGTTTTTAATGACAAACCTAATGTTTTTTAAGATAAAATACATTTAGCATGAATTAATAAATGACCTAAACAGGATCTATTTAACCACAAATAGAAGAATTTGGCAGAAGCTATATTTACTTTCTGTCACGTAGAATATAGGGTCAATATTTCAGACTTTCATGGAACTTTTTCATGCGTTCCCATACTTGAATAACAAAATGCATTAATTAATAGCTAAATCTGGTGCAAAGCTTCTTTGAGATTTATGTATTTTTGTACACGGTCCCTGAACTATAAAAAAAACATTTAATAAACTAAATAATTTAAATAACCTAAATATATTAAATGTCTCATGTCAGTGGACATCACTGTGGAGTCTTTACTCGTTATATATTGAAGCTTTACACTGTTTGCTGTATCAGTCTGAATGTGATTTCCTTTTGTTTAAATCATGATTTGTAATGTTGACCACAAATAAAGCCCGAGCTGCACAGTTTTCTGCTTGTGACTCTCCTGTGATTATTTTATGTGGAACTGTACCAACACTCCATAACACGCACGCATTATTCTTTTACAGAACTTCATCCAATGTGACTTATTTTAACAAACTTTTAAATCTTGAGAGGAAGATTTGTACAAACTGCCAGCTGGTGATCTCTAGAAGAGGAAACAGTCTTTTAAATCGTTGTTTCTTAAAACGTTATAACATTTCATAGTCGTATATCTCCATCTCCATTTAACATGAGGTCACTTACAGTGTTTATTACTCCAGAGAGAGTTCTTTACTTCACCGCGTGATTGGAGAATCCCACCAGCAGTTCACCCCACGTCAGCAAATCAGCACCACGGAGAGCTCCTGTGAAGGGAAATCTAAAAAACAAAGTGTGGAAGAAATGCATCATTTTGTAAAATAAAACTATCACACTTCGTTTTTTGTGTACACGGCACCTCAGGAAAAACATCTGGATTATAAAAAAAAGGATTAAAACCTAAAGCCTCTTGTCTTTAAATATCGAATGAGCCACTAATCAAACACTGTGCACTTACTGATGAAGGATAAGCCTTTTTATATCCGTTACAATACATTTTAAACACCGTAAACCTTCATTAGTGCTCCATCATATCTGCTGCTGTGGAAACAGAGCTCTGCTTTGATAACAGTGCAGATATAGTAAAGTCAGCTGTAGCAACACTATGACAAATAAAACAAATAGAAAACAGAAAAGAAACTAATCCAGCTGAGAAAACTTTTCAGACACGTGAGCCCTGCAGAGCTTCCTGTGTGTGTGTGTGAGGTCAATACAGGTGGTCATGAGATCAACACAACAGTTTCTGAACAGAGTTTTATTTAAGGCTCGATTTCTTCTCTGATGGATCATCTGAACAAAGTTACCGCCTCACTACAAACTGTGGCCTATAGAAGATAAGTCTATTTTAATATTGCATGTCATTGATCATTAAACGTGTTGTCGTGTTGATACATAAGACTTCCGTATCTATAACCTGACGTCCCTCTATTGCAACTAAACACCGACACTCATCGTGCACGTGGAGCCCTTTGATCACAAGCCACCCGAGCCCGACCCTGACCCTACACGGTAACCGGGAGAGAGCGACGGAGAAGGGAAAAGACGTTCACCGTGTTGCTGATCATAGCTATCGACACGAGAGCAGAACGTCTGACGTCTCAATGCAATAATGGGGGTGGGGGGGGGGGGTGTTTAGGTTGTCTGTCTGTCTGTCTCTCACTCACTCACTCACTCACTCGGAGAAAATTAACCTGCTGGTCTCCAACGCTCACTGACAAATAAACTGTAATCTAGTTTTAAGCGCTCTGAAGCGACCGACACCAGAACGGGGAATCAAATCTATTTGTTCCTGGAAGTACTTCACTGTATCGACGGTTTCAGTCTAAAACTAACGTTTCTTCTTTAGGCAACAACAATCAAAAAACACACAGAAGCCACATTTCATTCTTATTTGTTTTCTTCTTACTCGATAGTAAATCAGTTACATTAATTTTTAGGTTATACATTTTTTTTTAGGCTTTCTCCATGAATATATAGACTCCTACGTTAAAGCTTAGCATTACGACCAACATGAAAGACTTATTAGCAAAAAACAAATTTGAGGGGAAAAACCAAAAACAGGATTAAGACAGAATGATAGTGAATGGAGAAAAATATGTGAACCCCCCCCCCCCATGTTGTGGAACAAAAAATAAAAAAAGAAGAAGCAACAATTCATTCAATGTGGCAGTTACATCATTACATAATTGTGATTATAAAACAACTTAAAATGGTGGATGCAACTATTCTCTCAGACTGGGTTTGAACACGAAGCAGAATCTGAAACATACAAAAGACCCTTAAAGACGGAGCGAAGCAGAGGGGCGTGACGGATGGCAAGAGTACAATTTTTTGACTTTAAACGGTGAGAGTTCTGGTCGTGGAGGACACATCCATTATTTCTTTTTTTTTTTCCCAGAGGCCTTTGCAATTCATCCTCGGAAATGTCTCGAGTCCCGTGTGACTTCACACTTATCCCTGATTTCTCCAGCAGTGTCACTGTTTGAGCAGTTCGTTTGAGAAGTCACCAATAATTAGAAAACAAAAAAACAAACAAAAAGAAAACATTAAGGCTCCAGAAAACAGGTTTTTCTGAAATGAAAATTGTCAGTAGTCAGCCAAAAAATAGAGATTTTTGTCGATCTGAATGAAAAATAGATAAAACATTGAAGTTTTATTATCGTGGCGGCTCCAAGTCCGAACGTTGCCTTTGGGATCCTCCAACCCTGTTGGCACAGTTAGAACCTCTGAAGCATGGCAATGTTGCCCCCAAATGGACAAAGAGCGGCAGGACACGTCCGATCCTGATTGTACTGAAATATAAAGTGGCAGATTTCGTTTTTTTCCTCCGAGGTGCAGTCAGACCCTGATTCAATTGGAAAGAGGTGGGAGATGTGGGGCAGGAGAGAGAACCAGTGTGGTGAGAGAAGAGGATGGAGTGGGAAGAGGAGACTAGAGAGCGTGGTGGTGGTACATTAATCAGCTTGTTATCCCTGCACAAGAGGTGGGCGGTACATGGGGGCAAAAAAAATAATTAAAAAGCACAAGTCTCGACAATGGCAGAGATTCACCAGGATTAAATAAGAAAAAAAAAATGAAGGACTTTGCATTTTCATATTCTTCTGTCTCTTAAATCAAAAGTCCTAGTCTGTAACTGTTGATCAAGCCAAGGATAAATGTCTTCTATTGTTTATTCCTGTTTTGGCGCTCCTGTTGGGGAAAAGAACACAAAAATAAAATAACATTAGACATTTAAATATGACATAACGGCACATTTTAACGAGGTCTACATATATCTATTCTGAGCAGGGATCAGTTATCACAATATTTAATCTTCACTCATCAATCAGGAGGAAAAAAAGTGTCTGTCTGTCTGTCTGTCTGTCTCTCTATCTGTGTGTGTGTGTGTGTGTGTGTGTGTGTGTGTGTGTGTGTGTGTGTGTGTGTGTCTCCCTGGAGAGAGCGGAGGAAGTGAAGCTCCAAAGAGAGTTTCTACGTTTTGAGGTTGTAAACGGTGATGGAAGATGCCGACGTCCACTTAGAAAAAGATGCTCAAACCAGCCCTGAAGTTAGTTTTGTGTATTTAGTAAGTAAGAGCGCGTAAGAAGTGACTTCAAAATAAAAGCATTCTTCTGGTTAATGTGAAATTCAAATTTAGTCAGTCAGCTAGTCAGTCTATCAAAAATTTAAAAATAAAAATGAAATCAATGATTAAAAATACTAATAAATACACAATAAATATGAAAACTGTATTTCAGAGAAAATTGAATTTCAAGTGTGTGAATATCTTGTCAAACTGAGTAAGAATACAAAGAGCAATCTGACTTCAGAACAGCACCTCAGAGTCCAGACAAGTCTGCCAAAATGTTAACACTCGTGTGATCATACACATCAACGGGTTAAATTAAACAATATTAGTAGTTTAAGAGAAATTGTGAAAATGTTGAGATATTATTTCTAGGCCCTACTTATTACTCGTGGGATGATCAATGACACTAACAAGAAAATACTACTTATTATTATGATTATAAAATGATTCTTTACCTGATCCAACCGAGAGCGGTTCGGTATCGGAGAAGATTCAAAAGTCTGTCGAAAGGAGCAAAAGAGAGCAAACAGAGAACAACAACAATTAGCCTCTCAGACACAAATGAACTAGAAAAACTATTTGCAAACAAACAAACATGTGTAATGGTGTATGTATATTTTTGGTATATTGACGGCAACACAGTGAGATTACTGTGTCCACCTTGCACACCTCCTCCTCCTCCTCCTCCTGCCTCTTCTCATAATGGGAGAAGTCATCAAAGATGGAGGTGGTGTGTTTGTAGGTGGCGATGATCTTGAGCACCTGCTTGGCCTTCTCCAGAGGAACCTCCTGGGTGTCGCGGGAGTTGGTCACCGGCTTGTTGTCGTTGTTCTCCAGGCGGATGTGGCGCAGCTGGCTGTTGGGCACGTCCTTAACGAACAACCAGTCCACGTCGAACTTGCCCTTCCACTTGTCCTGCGCCCAAACACCGGCACTGGTGCCGTAGTCCACCGGCGAGCGCATCTCCGCCACGCCGCAGAAATGGCCGCTGCCGTTGACGCTGAATAGCAGGTACACGGGGCCTTTGGCGTTCATGGCCCGGAAGGCCGAGTCCAGCCGCTTGTTGCCGTGCTCCGTGCTGCACCAGATGGAGTACTTGATGGAGCGGTGGATATCGTCCTCGGAGTAGCTCTTAATGATGAAAACACGTCCGTTCTTCAGGTTCCATTCAAAGTCCTTGGGGTTGTAGCTGTGGGAGGCTCGCAGCTTATCCAGCACCGGGTGGGACTCTGCACCGGGTCCCTGGCTAGCACACGTCTGAGGGCCGCAGTTCCCGCCACCGACCATCCCCATCACGCCTCCGTCGTGGCCGGGGCCGCCCTGCCCGTAGCCTTGGTTACGGTTGCGGGGGGCCACCCAGCGGGTTTGGGGCTGCGGGGGCTGGGTGTGGTTTTGGTAGGGCTGAGGCGGTGGCTGATGGTGCTGATGGTGCTGGTGCTGGTGTTGGTGATGGTGGGTCTGTAAGGCCATAGGCTGCATCTGGGGCTGCACCAAAGACTGGGGCGGTGGGGGGTGCATGGGTCCTTGCTGCATGTGGCCTTGAAGAGGCATGGCGTGAGGAGGCAGACCGTGAGGCTGCTGCTGCTGCAGTGGAGCTGTGGCTACTTTAGTCACGGGGCCCTTGTCCCAGGTCCCGATGTTCATGTTGTGTTTGATGGGAGGCGGGGGAAGAGCCCCCCCCAGGTTGGACATCCCTGGCTTAACCTTGGCTTTCAGCTGCTGTGGCTTGGCGGGCTTGCTGGCAATGGCCGCCCAGGAGGTGGGTTTGGGCGGCAGCATCCCGATAGGCGTGGCCCCGTTCCCCGTGGTCGCCACCACCGGCCCTCCGATCACGGACCCCACGGCCTTGACTCCCGAGCCCTGGCCGGTGACGTCCCCTCCGATCTTCAAGCCGACCATACCCTGCTCCAGGCTGTTCATGCCGGGGGCTTTGTTGAGGGTGTCACTGTGAAAGCCCGTCTGACCATCGGGCAACAGGGTGCCCCCCAGGGAGCTGGGGGGGTAGCTGTAGCTGCCGCCGTAGGCTGAACTCTGAGTCTGCTGGCCCTGGGAGCCACTCGCTCCCCAAGCAGAGAAGGCAGGGTTTTCGGGGAAAAAGTTAAACCGGTGGGGGTAGATGCTGCTCCCCAGGCCCCCCGGCTGCCCGAACACCGTGTCCGGCATGAAGTGATGGTCTCCGTTACTCAAGGCTCCGTAGGGGGTGAGGTACGGAATAGGGGGGTCCCCGCCTGTGGACCAGGGAGCCTCACTGAGGGGATACGGAAATCCAATGGAGGGAGCGTAGTAGCTGGACAGGTAGGGGTCGGTGATGGACTGGTAGCTGTTGTTCTGTTCAGCAGAGCCACAACATTAGCAAAGGACTTACAGTTTGACTGAATCAGGTCTATGATGTAAATACAACTCTACATCTACATGAGTGACTAACTTACAATCATATCCTGTTGTGTTTCTGTAGTAATAACTGTTTGTTTTAAACATAGCAGGAGTTTTGTAATGCTGAACAGATCATCAGTTTGACTATTTTAGAAGTGATTGTATTACTAATATCAGAAATAATAAAATAAAATCACTATAACAAACAATCGTCTTAAGATAGAGATATCAGCCTCATTTACTAATATGTGGGTAGAAATGTTCATTCTTTTACAATTTTTAAAACGTTAAAATTAACATCGTAGTCCTGACACGTGCTCACAAAAACAAATGCAACGACCGAGGCGGTGAATGTCGTGTCCCTGAGATACGGACTGTGGCTCAGGCACAAATGAAACATTTAATTTAAAGGTTAATGTGAACAAAAAGACAGAACAGAAGAAAAGGAACCGGGTGGAGGAGGAGGACAAGGACCACCTGCTATTATTGGAACATATCCAGTAAATGAGGGTGAAAGTGAGGACATCCAGCCAGAACTTTCTGCACGAACCTGTAGTTCTGCACGGTTGCAGATTCAGATCAGGCTACATCATATTCTTAGTATTTTACTATCTGTAGAATTAGATTCCACTCATGTGATACAAACATTTCCAATAACTCCAGAGCGTTGTGAAGTCAAAGAAAATGATTGATGTAATAATTTCCTATATTCACCACATTTTTACTAAATGAATATTCTGCTTCAATCCATATTTTTTGGGGCGTTTCGCTCCTTTAAAAACAACATTTTCACTGAGGTCAAAAACCTTAAATAGTGCTAATTATTTTAGGGTGATGGTGTTGTAAAATATGAAGACAGACATTTGAAACAGACATTTGAAACCTCAAAAGAAGCTCTCAAATATTTAGCATATTTTATAGTAGATTATACTTTATTTAATTATGGCAATAATTGATGAGGATTAAGCGCTTCAATTATATAGTGATTTAATACATTTGGCCAATGAATTGATAAATTAACAGTTTTAAATATTGTCTATTAAAGACCAATTGAATAAATTCTGTTTTGATATGAGACGCATTAAGATACGAGGTGTGTGTGCAGTTCATGAATGAGGCATGTTGAGGTTTACCTGAGTCGATTGACTGGTGAGGTAAGGCTCAAAGTCATTGTCATGGACCGTCTCCTTCTGATGCAGTGAACCATTTTGCACTGCAACAAAAGAAAATTGACATTAATGTACATTTAAATACACATGTTCACTGTTTGAAGACAGAGATAGCAATAGCTGTTTTAGTTATAAAGTTGAGTTTGAAATGATCGACTTAGTAGTCATGGTTTAAAACAAAATAAAATGCATATTTAACTTGCTCAGCTACAACACAGTACACAATAGATTTAAGGATAACTCCATTTAAAGATGTATTGATATCCATCTATCCAATGACGTAATCTCTCTCTGTCCACCTTGTGTGTGCATGTGTTCTTCCCTAAACGTTCTTTAAATGATCAGTGAGCCATGTGAAGCCGAGCCTCTCCTGGAGGTGAATCAGCCCGTGGCGTGCTGCCAGCGAGGCGTGAGTCAAGACCTGCCTGTCACTCCGCCTCCTTCACCGACTGCAGTAAATCAAAGTTGACTAGAACGTCATAAAAAAAAAATCCAATTACAAGGCCATAACAACAGCGTTGCCACCGCTAATGTTGCGGAGGAACTGACAACAATGAATTTCCAGTAAATCATTATGCAAAAACATTCTGGATCTCTGATTTATGTTAACATTTTCTTGCACAATATCTCTAGAGATTAAAGGTGGCTATAAAACTTTGCAGTTTGCCCCCTCACAAAGGATTCTGTGGTCAGATTTACTGTGGTCAGACACTAAAGCATGAACAAAACATCCATGGAAGCTTCACAAACCAGTTAATACTGTCTGCTACGTATGTTTGAAACAGCCATATTTCTTTAGCAAAACAGAACGAAAGGACTTTGCCTTTGTTTCCTCTTCCGTTGGCAAGGAGAGCTCCTCTTTCCTGGTTCACTGAGCACTTTGACTAATGTAGCAGCAGGAGGAGGACCATCTGATGTGCACGAACAACGGTGAACGGGGATGGAAAACAGAACCGTGCATTAAGGAATATGATTGAAATATCCTCAGAATAAGGACGGGACAGTGGCAAGGTGGATTATGCTGGGATTGAATTTTCTCCCAGATCCCAAGCAGACTACAATCTCTCTTTTACTCACAACTTTCTCTCAACCAGACCACAGAATGTCAGGATAGGGAACCTGACATCAACAACCACCATCCTGAACACTGGTGCACCGCAGGGCTGTGTGCTCAGCCCGGCCCTCTTCACCCAGGACTGCTCCCCCACCTATTCCTCCAACACAATAGTGAAGTTTGCTGACGACACCACTGTGGTGGGACTCATCTCCAACAACGACGAGACACACTACAGAAGGAGGTCCAACATCTGGCTGAGTGGTGCTCGGACAACAACCTGGTCCTGAACACCACCAAGACCAAAGAAGTCATAGTGGACTTCAGGAGATCCAGGAAGACCACACCCTCTCCACTCTACATAAGTGGGGAGGAGGTGGAGAGGGTGGACGGCATCAAATGCCTGGGGCTCCACATTAATAAAGACGTCACTTGGTCCCTGAACACATCACACCTGGTGAAGAAAGCCCAGCAGAGGCTCTTCTTCCTGAGGAAGCTAAAACAAGCTGGCCTGCCCCCTGCACTTCTGGTTAACTTCTACAGAAGTGTGATTGAAAGCATCCTCTGTCAGTGCTTTACTGTGTGGTATGCCAGCTGGACAGCAGAGAACCGGAGGGACCTGGCCCGGGTGGTTAGAACAGCACAGAGGATTGTGGGAGTTACCCTCCCTGACCTGGACACTGTGTATGCTGGCCGCAGAAGAAGGCCAGCAACATCTGCACAGACACCACACACACCCACGTCACTCTCCGTTTGTTCCACTGCCATCAGGAAGAAGATTCAGGACTATCAAAACCCAGACTAACAGGCTGAGGAACAGCTTTTTCCCCAGAGCGGTTTCCTCCATCACTCCCCCACCCCCACCCAGCTCACACCGGACAGTGCTGCGGTGAAACACTTTAACAAAGCACCTTATTTACTTTAAATAAATAAGGTGATGCCTGTGTTTTATCTTGTATATATTTATTTACTGTCTTGTTTTAAATCAGAAATGTCTTGTCTTAATGTTTTTATACATTTTTTACCTGTTGTTGCTGTACTGAATGAGTCGCCAACTTAAATTCGTTGTATGTTTTTACAATGACAATAAACATCCTTATCCTTATCCTTATCCTGTCAAGGCTACAGGGGCCGAGTGTGCGTGATCCTAAAAAGACAGCTTTGGGTGTGCCAAATATGGAACTGCCAATAACATTAGAAACTGCTTCAACAGATGGCAACAACACCATGCAGGTTAAAACTGAGCATCATGGACATCTTCTCATCATGCCTACTATCAGCAAACAAAGACATAAAAGTATCATCCCACACAAGCCGCCCGTTTAATGACATGATGGATGTTGTACTCCGATGTGTCTCACAGTACTCAATTATTTGACCCCTGACCCTGATATTGTTTATGTCATACTAACTTCTTCAGAACATAAACACAATACAGTCAAAGTAACTCATCATTTGATTTAATTTGTACATGTTGTACACACTGTGGCAAGACCCAGCATCTTTCTGCATACGTGCACATATATAAATATATGTACGAATGCTTTTCTTTTCTTTGTCATGCGTTTGTTGTGTTGAAAATGGGCTACAACTGAATTTCGTTGTGCATCCCTGTATTGCATAATGACAATAAATTATCCATGAATGTGTATATTATGTTAATAAAATATTGTGTAGCCTGACAGCAGTGTGTATATCAAAGACAGTGTATGTGATGCAGATTTAGTCAGAGGAGCTATAAGCCCAGGATAAACAGGTATACACAAACAAATACAGTACAACTCACCTTTAGATGCTTGTCCCTTTGATCTCTGCACACATGTAGCATGAAAAGGAAAAACAGGAGATAAACACGGTTATTTTCAGTTGATTTGAGGGGATTTCACACTGATTGATTGCAGCTTTTTATTGTATTACTCACAACATTAAGACTACTTCCTGAACAGACGCAATGCAACATGATTACCCAACGTTGCTCACCAGTGAAAAGCTGTAGATAAATACAGTTTAGCTATAATAGTTAGTCGTTTATTTGGTCTGTAACTTTAGCTAACGCACGCACAACTTAGCTAGTTAGCTTAACGTAGCTTAGCCCTCTTTAAAATGGCTTTTATAAACGCAAATAGCGTAAATAGCAGCTTGTAACTTAGACAAAGTCACCCTAGAAACAATGCTGGTGTTCGTACCACCTTCAATATAAACACAAACTTAGAGCTTCACTGAATAAGTTAGCTTGAACCTCTTGTTATAATCATTTTAACGTTAGCTTTCACGTATTGTGCCGTTAGTGGTTAAAATAGTTGTTTTCTTCCTACTACGTTGACTCTACAGATATATAATTATAGTTAAAAGATGTGTTTACCACGGGTTTGCATGCTTAACGTATAACTTAAATGTCATTCCTGTTAAACGTCCGTTAAAAACACATTTAACCGTTTGCCGGAATGTAGCCGTTGTAGCTAATAGCTAACGTTACATGCACCCGGCTAACGTCAGCGGCTAGCTAGCTAGCTTAGCACTTCCAATGAATAGCCGTAGCCCAATATAAAAAATAACTCGCTTAACGTTAGCGGGGTTAAACTAACAATCCTACCTGAGGGTCAATGCTTGTGGCAGACATTATTCATGAAGCAGGTCTTCTCACAACAGCCGGAGCTTGTGGCTGGGTTTTTTTTTTCCAAGGCCCCGTGATTTGAGAGAAGAAAAAAAGAAAAAAAACAGCAAGTTCACACACAGCTCAGTTCCAGTTAGCTTATGTCGGCTACCTGCTTAGCTTAGCGTGTGTTGTGGAGCTAGCAGTTGTAGCTCAGCTGTGTGTGTGTGTGTGTGTGTGTGTTTTTTCCGCTGTGTGCACCAGTATCTTCAACTTCCACAGTTTAAAAGTCTATCGCCTCCGGATACTGCTGGTCCGAAAGCAGTCCAAAAATAAATGTTTATGTGTCGCCGGTGGGAAGCTTTTCTGAAGCTTATAGAATATTTCTGCACCTCCTCGGTCGCCTTTTACTTTGTCTTTATTATTCCAGACAGAGAGAGAGAGAGAGAGTGTGTGTGAGAGAGAGAGAGAGAGAGAGACAGAGAGAGAGAGTGTGTGTGTGTGTGTGTGTGAGAGAGAGTGTGTGTGTGTGGGGGGGGGAGGGGGAGAGAGAGGGAGAAGGAGAGAGAGACAGAGAGAGGGGGGGGGGGGAGAGCTCATACACTTCCCCAATGGCTGCTCTCATCCGGGCTTTGAGCTGCAGTGCACGTGGCTCCCCGCGGGGGGTGCAAAAGTTTGAAGCATCCTTCTCTGTTTGATTTTATTTGTTAATATCTGTGATTCCATTAACGTGGAAGCCCATTTCTGACACTGAGATGAATAAAATTAATATTTAATGACAAAAATGATGAAATGCTAAGTCATAATTATGAGATAAGTCATAATGATGAGATGCTATTTCAACATCGCACTAGAGCTGTTTGTGTTCTGGCCTTTTTACACGTTTCAGTAGTTATTACTCTCTGTCGCCACCAGGAGGCAGCAATGATGCACCCACAGCCCCCATACAAATCTATCAAAGGTCAAACCATGCTACTTTTTATAGATAGACTGTAAATATTTAATGAGTGTTGTGAGTATTACAATTAATAGACAAATATGTTGTGATTAATTTTTTTTGAAAAGCTTTTGACACCACAATAAATCCCACAAACAAGAATAAAAGAGACTCATTATGTTTTTAACTAATTAACCTTCATCCTTATTATTTGTCTTACAGACCTTTGTTGAGATCATTCTATTCTTGTAGGGTTATGGTTTAAAAGTTCAAGGTTGTAAGCTTTCACAATGGTATTTTTTAATAACTTTGTTGTTATGGGGCCATAGTGTTTGTTTTTCTTTCTGAAATGCTTCACGTGTTTTGTCCGAAGAGGCGGAGCGACGTTCAGGCTTTTCATCCATTCAAGGATCAATGAGCGCATAACGTTCTGGCATTCGGTGGCCTTTCTGGAAAGCCGTCTGCCGTAGGCCGCAGCGCAGGCCCCCCGCAGCTGATCAGATTATTTCAGCTGGTGTGCTGCACTCACCTTCAGTGCGCACTCCACTATGGACCGCAACGACGAGACGAGACGAAGCTGCGCGCCACAGAATGACGGATGACAGGGGAACCGCGCCGCACGTCCTCGAGGAGCCCCGGATGCGAGGGGAAGGGGAGAGACTTCGAACTTTTGAGAGCTGGTCAGCAGATGCGCCCGTCACATGTGGAGCGCTGGCCAAGGCGGGCTTCTTCTTCCTGGGCCCCGGGGATAAGGTCCAGTGCTTCTGCTGCGGGGGGATTTTAAGATGCTGGGTGCGCGGGGACAGCCCCGCCGTGGAGCACGAGAGGCATTTCCCCACTTGCGGCTTCACACTGGGCCGAGCCGTGGGGAACATCCCGCTCCAAGTCGGATCCTCCGACTCCGTGGACGGTCAGCTGTTGAGTCAGCTCCAGAGGATGACTATGGATGACCAGGGGACCGCCGGGCAAGCGGTCTACCCGGAGATGGAGGCGGAGGACTCCCGGCTCACCACGTTCCACAATTGGCCCACCGAGGCCTCGGTCCAGCCAGATATTCTCGCACGAGCAGGATTTTTCTACACAGGTGCTCATTGTCTCCTACATCCTCCTTCTTTAATACCTTAATATAGCAACATTCGAGTGATAATACTATTTCTGTCAGTTGTTCAGCACTGACCCCGGTCACTGCTGGAGTGACCTCTCTTTGTGAGAGAGTTCATGGGACAATTGTCCTGCTGAGTCATGGTGTTGTGGACAGAACAACCTGGACAACGCTGGGGCTGCTAGAGAAGTAGAGTTCAACAGCTTCAATACAGAGTCAAAAAACGAGTGCAACATAATGTGATAATACAATATTTAAATACATTTTTGTGTCAGAGAGGAGGTTGGTTCAGCTTTAGTGTCATTATCGCAGGTTTTTAGTTTGTGCACGATATTGATTCCTTTTACAGTTTGATCTATGAAGTGATTTATTTTCTTATTTTATTTCGGACATAGGGAGAATAATGAGATGTTACAACTGAGTTTCTGTAAAAAGACTCTCATGGCTCAATATAACGAATCACAAATGTGCCTCAGAGGGCTTTTACATTCTGTACAATTTACAACATCGCATCAGAAAAGGAAAAAATAAAAACCTTTAACATGAAGAAACAAAAAGAAGAAACTTCAGGGAAACCAACAAAAGAAGGATGTCTCTCCCAGGATGGACAGAAGTGTAACAAATGTCAAGTTCACAGAATGAGCAGAAAATAATCAATATGAGAGAAATATGAGAGTATAAGCACCAATAATAGCAGAAATAATAACAGAAAAAGTGTGTAAGCATAACAATAGTCCTGCTCATCCTGACAGGTCACGGCGACAACGTCAAATGCTTCCACTGCGATGGAGGTCTGAGGAACTGGGAGCCGGGAGACGACCCCTGGCAGGAGCACGCCAAGTGGTTTCCACGGTAAGAGCAGGACTTGTTCCAACACATACAAAAAGTTCGTGTGTTTTTTGTGTTCAGCATTCACGCTTTAGAAGATTTGTAAGACGGAGTCTTTGTGTTTCTCAGATGTGAGTTTTTGATCCAGGAGAGAGGGCAGGATTACATCAGCAACATACAGGACTCTCACTTCCATCTGGGGGACACTGTGGTGAGAACGTTCACTCCTCTAACAGCAGCCGCTATAATCACACATTGATGCATGATGATTGATAAATGACAGTTTGTTTTTCCAGGGCGGATCACAGACCTCCACAGGCAGAGACATCGGATCCAGAAATGGTAAGTCACATAAACAGAAACAAGGCAGGGAATAAGAAACCTTTATTACCATAGACCTGGATTTGATGCCAGAAATGATCTCCGTGCATCCTGCACGAAGTGTCAACATCCTCTCTAGTTGTTCACACAACAGGGGAGAAGGTGGGAGTGTCACTGCAGTTCGTGCAAATGGAGGCAAAGAAAAGCTGCAACCAGTTTATTCACTTATTCTCAGATCGACGTGGTGAGAACACCTACAATCTCAAATTAGACTCTCTGGAAGAAAAGCAGGTCCGTTATTGTTCCTCTGGGAGGCGGCTGAGAATCAAAATAGCTGCATGTTCAATTAGCTGAGCTCATGTTTGCTAGAGGATTGCAGTAATTAGGCGGTGCTATGGAAACCATTTGTTGCACACGGTTGCAGGGCAATTATTCCATACAATGAAGGACTTACAATTATAATCCATTTTAGCAGAATACACTGACAAATAAAAGTTAAGCTGAACACATTTATTCCTCATAGTTAACGTAACATCTCATGGATGTGTAGTTATTCTGGTCGCTGGTCTCGTCCTCCTCACTTCTTCCTCCCCTCTTCCTCCCCTCTCATCTCCCAGATGTGGTCGGCGGTCTGGGAGCGTCGTCGGCCATGCTTTCTCCCGTGGTGCAGACGGTGCTGCAGATGGGCTTCGAGGCCGGCCTGGTGGAGAGTCTGGTCCAGACCAAGTACCTTCTGACGGGTCAGCACTACACCTCTGTGTCGGACCTGGTCACCGACGTGCTGCAGGCGGAGCAGCAGGACAGACAGAGGGGGTCACAGAGCAGAGGTAAGGACTGAAGTACTGTACTTACGTACATTCATTGTGGTACTTTTTCCAGGCTGTTTTCATACAGCATCAGTAGCTATACCTACAAAACAATGTATGAGCTGTAATTCATATATATATCCCACAAAATACATTTGTATGTAATCCAGGTAATCATGAACCAGGAAGTGTAAGACCAGCTGTTTGTGTCCCGCGTGAAACGAGAAGTCAGCGTTGATTTATTTATGCTGTACTTCAGTAACGTCACCTCCGTAGTTATTTTAACCCAAACTACAATAAACCCAAATAAGCCGTGTTGTTGCCTAAACCTAACTAAGTTTTTTCCTGTCTGAATATTTTGAAACGCACAAAAAATGAGGAGTAACATTTGTTGTAAGTTATCATACGAACCGTTGTGTATAAGGTTATAAACTGTTTGGTTGGGGATCTTTGTCATGTTTCACATGTCTATGAGTTGTTAGCAGTTAAAAGTACTTTTAATTGTGATACTCTAAAGGAACCGTGTGCAGAATGTAGGGGGATCTATTTGGGGAAATGGAATATAATCTTTTCTTTAAGTGTAGAATCCCGTGAAAAAAGGAATGTATGTGTTTTCGTTACCTCAGAATGAGTCATTTAAATCTACATATTAAGCCCACGCCATGTTTCTACAGTAGCTCTGAATGGACAAAGCACTGGCTCTAGACAGGGGCCATTCACGTTTTCTTTTATTGCCGCGTCGGCCATCGTAGTTCTCCTACATGCTCGGCAACGGGAGAAGTTTCAGTCGTTTGTAATCTGCAACCTCACCAATAGGCGGCGCCAAATCCTGCACACTGCACCTTTAAGTACATTTTGCTAACGATTCGTTTTAAATACAGGTCTCCAGTTTGTAATAAGAGTACAATAAGAGTTTGTACTAGTAAGTATTTAATACCAACTAGAGGTATTAATGATCAGCATGCTGAATACTGTCATTTTCCACGCTAACCTCTTCAAGAATAATCTGCCAATTAATTGTTTTTTGACAATTTGACATGAGAAAATAATATGAGCACATGGTAATAACCCAAATATCAATGCTTTAGTATATAATAATATATTTGACTGTCTTGTGTGTCCTACAGAGCCAGACACGAGGCAGGGCTCCAGCGCTGCGAATGTGAGGACACAAACACCCATCAGAGAGAAAGGTCAGAGGTCAACCCCTATGCACTTTACAGGGGGAAAAAATGATTTACAATCAATACCACCATTGAGTTGCTGACATGCGATTGCTCTATCCTGCAGACTCAACACTCTTGAAACTCAAAATGATTTTGTCTCTCGTTTGCGGTTTTCTCCGACAGCGAAGGACCCGAGCCCCGAGGAGCTGCTGCGGCAGCTGCAGGAGGAGAGGACCTGCAAAGTGTGCATGGACAAACTGGTGTCCATCGTCTTCATCCCCTGCGGTCACCTGGTGGTGTGTGGCGATTGCGCCGCCAGCCTGCGTCACTGCCCCATCTGCAGAGCCATCATCAGAGGCAGCGTTCGTGCTTTCATGTCCTGAGGCTGCAGTGAGAACAGGTGTCGCATTGCACGAGTGGCCTTGAGTTTCTTTCCTCTGCTCTCTCATTTGACCTTGTACTGATAAGAAAACGAAATAAAGAGTAATTGCTGCTTGCTCGTTACAGCTGACAGATCGTTTTCTGTCGTGAACATTTAAAGCTGTTCGATATGTGTTTTTGTTTTACACGCACAAACACGTCTACTGAATGTCACACAATATCCTTAAAAGAGCACATTCTTTTATTAACAGACAGCTATTTACATGAACACAAAGCACAGTTCTGGATAAATATGATTACACACAATCAGGTCACATTGAGGCAACACAGGACACAAAATAGAAGAGAGAGGTACGGGAAGAAAAAAAGACCTTTTCCACTTTCTATACAAAGAAAAAGAATTATCTATAAACAGGTGGAATGTTTTTTAGTGGAAACTAGCACACAAACACTAAATCCAGTCACCAAAGGGGGGGGGGGGGGGGGGGGGGGGGGGGGGGGGGGGGGGGGGCTGTATTGCACTGAGAGGAAGACTAGTTTACATAGTAGCATTTACTACTAATACTGATTATGTTACAATATGAGGTGCTCTGTGTTTCTACAAACCCACACACCTGTGAGCCTCCACTCTTAGAAATGAAGGGTGCTAACTAGAACCATAAAGGGTTCTTCGGCTTGTCCTCATACGATCAACGGGGTTCTACCTAGAACCCAACGTCGTAGGGTTATACCTAGGACTGGGCGATACGGAGAAAATCTAATATCACAATATTTCAGGCTAAAATCTGGTATCGATATTGCGACGATATTGTAGAGTTGACCATTGGTGCTTTTACAAAATATTTACACAATGAGATATTTGATAATCTTCAGTCATGTGGATATTATGACTAAGTGACTAAAGGCAATCAATAGAACATCTAGAACAGTCTGGTCTCAGAACATTACATTATTCTAATGCAGCCTTTAAAACACACAAACACTTGTGCAACATCACAATATCCAACATCTAAGATATCTATTCTCATATCACAATATCAATATTCTATTGACATGGCCCAGCCCTACCTAGAACCACCTGTGAAAAGTTACACCCAGAACCCACTTATGAGAGGTTTTACAGAGAACCCTTCTTTGGTGTAATGGTTTCATCCAGAACCCTCTCTGGAGGTTCTATCCAGAACATTTCTACCTTCTAAGGATGCTAACAAGAACCCACGGGGTTCTACCGGGAACCCTTTTCTATTCCAAGATTATCTTTAACTCACCCGGGGGTTTCTACCGAGAACCCTTTTAATATTCTAAGGGTTTTATCTAGAACCCATCCAGGTTGTTCCACTGAGAACACTTTTATAAACCAAGTGTTTCTTCTAGAACCCTGAAGGGTCGGGGTTCATGTGGTGCAACTCACAGCATTCACTGTTCACAATCGTTTTTGAGGGTGGGGTTCTCGATTGTGGCCGTTCTCTTTTAACACCCATGCTTTGACCAATCCTTGAAGAACTCTTCCTTCCACAGAGGGGTCTTAATGGAACCCGTAGTCTCACAAAGAAGCCTTGACAAACCCTTTCTTTATGATTCTGGGTAGAACCTCAACCCTTTATGAAGAACCCATTTGGAACCCGTATTTCTAAGAGTGAACCAGGGGTGTGTGTAAACTTTAAATCATAAAAAAACATAGATAAGACATTAAATTATTGCATCTTGCCAATAGAGAAGTGACCGATCCAATGAAAAGGGGTCGCTCTCATCGTTGTGAAATTAGCCGACAGAAGCGGTCTGATGATTTTAACAGTTCGTTGACTTTCTATCCGGCAGTGAAGAACATCTGACACCACGGAGGAATCTGACACACAGCAGGATATTTTTAGTTGCTGACGATAAAAAGGACTGAGAACAGAAGGAAGTTCTTTGTTCACAACTCTTTTGATTCCCCAAAAAAATCCATCTTGGCAGACCATTTCAAACTCAGCTTGTAATCAGACGAGTAGCGTACGGAGAATGTTCTGGATTCAAATGTAAATGGATAAAAAATGAACTTGACCCGAATGATAAAGAAAAGAACTGAAACAAGAGCAAAGCACAGATTCATCCTACATGATAATTACTTTGAAGCCCAGTCTATTATAATTATAAAGATACTTATAAATGCATTGTAATCGGCTTATCACACTGTATACTTATAGCTATAAACACAACAAACATTCCTCGTGTTTTATAATAATAATAACACATTTTACAGCTTTTTATAATTACTTTTAAGTCCATGTGTCATAATACTTCAGAATCACTCAATGATCGTTTTTGTTCAAACATCATAGTGTTTTTTAATTCCCATAATTGTCTTTTTAAAATGCATTATAATTACTGTCATAATGCATTATAATGTGATTGCAATACGTTACGTTAAGTGGTCATTGTCTGATTTAAGTAAAATGAGAAAATACATTTTATTGCATAGATTTAATGATATTTATTCACTTTACTTAAAGCAAACAATAACCACTTGAAGTAACTTATTATAATCGCATTATTATGCATTGTTACAGTGATTACAATGTATTATAAAAACGATTATAATGTATTATAACTATGGAAATTATAAGAGAGTGACTAATAATTATGAAGTGTTATGATATTTGACCTTAAGAGTCATTATAAATATTTTGAAATGTGTTTTGATTATCGTTATAAAGCATTGTGAAAATGACGAGTGCTTATAACTATAATAATATTGTGCTATAAGCAGATTATAACACATTATAACTTTGTTTATAATGCATTACAGACACCAGAGAAAGTGTTGTCGAACATACTTGTTGAAAGGTTTACTGTGTAGCAGACAAAAAGGTAGTTTTAAGACAAATCGTGGATGTTTTTACCCTGAAGCAGAAACTCGGTCGCCTTGCAACTTGCACATGAACCCTCTGAACACCAGAGAGCAGTAGTGATGCACACAACCAGTGAGGCAACAGAGGATCTGACTTTGAAATATCTGACATTAACAAAAGAGAAAAAGTGCTACTTATCATCAGTATAGATAAGACCCACGTGTGCTCGCCTAAATACAACATGTGTCAAACAAATCTGAGTAAGAAACTACACAGTAGAAGCTTTTCAGTCACTGTTTAACCAGCTCATATACAGACACTTGAAGACACCCGTTTTGTCTTTCCTAAACATGTTATACACACTATAACAATATAAACCCTGTAAAAAAAAAACATGCTCTAAAACAATCACAACTGAGACGATCACCACCGTTGGACTGACAGGAGACTCAGCTGGAGGCCATGCTGCTTCCACACTGAAGCCAGCTGCAGCTCAACGTCGTCGCTTTATGCAACGTGAACGGGGAAAAACGGTCGCTATTGTTTTTTTAGTTTTTTTACTTGAAGTTAAAAATACGCCGCGTAACCTTTGCTTGAGCGTGTAATGATGAAGCAGCCCGACATGTCAGCAGTTAGAGGAGGAACAACAAAGCAAAGTCTTCTAACACCTGACACTTCAGAACCGACAATAAGACTCCCCAAATAAAAAAAGTAAGACTCATGCCGTCTGAACTCCTCTTACTCGCCAACATTTCAAACTCTAAATCCCAAATCCCTCCTGTTGTTTCATTATTTACATTTTCTATTTTTTGACGGATGCCCCCGTAGGTTTGGTGCTTTTTTTTTGTTCCCTTCCCTCCCCTCTACCTCCCCTCTACCTCCCCCTGCCTCTCTTCCTGCTTTGCTTCTGTATTTATGCACACAGATCCTGGCCTAAAGTAAACAGGCGGCGCACAATAGCTCATTCCACAGGCTCCACTGTAATTCAGCCCTCCGGCCGAGATCTGAGCCAAAACCAGCAATAACACGCTAAATCACCGAGTCCTCTAAGACACGGCACCGCAAGAGTGGGAACGCTGGGCCGTCCCCGATTACACGCACACACACACACACACACGTTTGTCTATACGCTGTACATGTTCTGTACAGTCTTGGGGAGTATGAGACCAGTATGGGCAGGTCACAGCAATGGAACCTCAGCAGAGAACTCAAAGAAAAAGACAATATGAGGCTTTGTTGAACTGTAACCCCCCCCCCCCCCCCCCCACCCCCTTTTTCCAGGAACCCGTCACCGCTCCCTGGAAAACAATGGGCCTTAACTGAGAAAGTGTTGGTTTTCTGGGCAGCACACCAGTAAACAGCGTACTGAAATCAAGAATTGGAGGAATGTCTGGCGTGTCCCTCCAGTGAACTGAGGGGGGACGTTTGTGTCAAAAACAGCCATTTTGTCTTCGTGGGAAAATTTTGCCGTGTTGCCTCCGCCGCCGGACGCTTCTCTCATTTACGTAGACCTGCAGAGAACAGAAAGATGGGGAAAGAAAGAGAAGAGAGTCAGAGGATGGATCTATCCTGGTTATAACTCCCTGTAGGTTTGGGGGCAGACAGAAATGTCCTCCCTCCCATTAGAGACGGAGCTGATTAAACTGTCAAGAAGCTCATCAAATATTCATTTCATATTGGCAGAGAGTTACGACATGACTTCCCAGACTTATTGTTATCAACTCCTCTGCACAACTTAATTGATTCATCCAATTTTAGACAGGTTTGTGTGTTTTGCTCCATGTGCTTCTATCAGGTACTGCCTGCGGCGTGGGACACACACACACACACACACACACACACACACACACACACACACACAACCGTGTCATGAGAGGCCTCCATTTTCATGGAGCATGTTCCAGAGAGACGTTCACACCCCAGACACGACTCAAGGCTCCAGATACTGAGCTAGAAGCCGTCACGTTTCTGGTCACTGTTGTTTTGTGACCGCCGGCATCCTGATTAAAAATACTAAAAGAAGCTCTGGAACAAGCGAGTAAGTGGATCATTGAAACAGTTACATGTTAGGGCTGGGTTATACCGCAAAAAATTGACAAATAAAAAAGGTATTTTCTCATTTAATTCAATTTAATTCAATTGTATCTGTAGAGCCCAATACCTCAACATCATCTGTCCTTGGACTCTCGCGTAGGAAAAGTAAAAACTTCCCAAAATAAAACTTTTAACGGGCAACATGAGAAGGATCCTCTATCAGGACGGACAGACGTGTCATAGATGTGTAGAGAACGAACAACATACTAAAAGTACAACATAGTCAATCCGTGTGATATAAATGATACATTTAGAGAGTATAACAGCAATAGTAGCAGAAGTAATAATAGAAAAATTATGATAACAAAAGCAGTAAAAGTAGCAGTAATAGTAGAAACGTGACTAATAATATAGTAATATATATAATAGTAATGATTAAGAACTGCAGTGCAAAATGAACAGATTATCTGAGGAATGTGAGTCAGTATTTGCTTGTTATTATAAGACGACAATTGTGTGTCACGATGTCTCAGGATCTGATTTCATCATGATACCATTTCTTTGATAAATGATCATATTGACTGATCACCCAGCCCTCATTACATGTAGGTAACTAATAGTACAGCCCAGAGTGCAGATGACCACAAAAGGAAACAGACAACGGCTCTTAGAAAACACCCAGGAACATAAAACACACACATGTTGGCGTGACACATGTTCATACTTACAGGTACATGGGCTTTAAGAGGAGATGAGATGGTTTCTCATTGACATGGTAGAGAGGGAATGGGTCAAATCCACCAATAAAATCGACTGAAAACAAAGGATTAAACACATAAATCATGGAGAAAATCAAAAGACAGACAATAAGAGAACAAGACGCTGATATTAAAAAGACAAACAATGATAAAAACAAACAGTAGAATGAGAAACAAAATGGAAACTAAAGACGCAGCGGGGACGGATGTAAAGCAGGGATGTTGAAAGGTACGTTTTTTTACTTTTCAAAGAGTCCACACAAACCCCCGTGTATCTGCAGGCAGAGCTCGGGGACAGGTGAAAGCTGGCCACCTGTCAAAATAGCCAAAGCCTTCTTTCTTTCTTTTTTTCTTTTTATCGCTCAGAAACAGAGGTGACTTTCAGCCACGAGGACCGAATGCTCAACCCATCTCTCACTTAAGAGTTGCAGTGCGGTGTGCAGATGAGCACACCAGCGTAGAAAGAGACAGGGGGAGACGCTGGCGACAACAGTGATTGTGGCTAATTTTTGTGCAGATGCAGAGAGAGAGAGAGAGAGAGAGAGAGAGAGAGAGAGAGAGAGAGAGATGTTTGTGAGACGAAGGGGAAAGGCTCGCGGCTCTAGAGGGGGACACAAAGGCTGAGAGAGAGAGAGAGAGAGAGAGAGAGAGAGAGAGACAGAGAGAGCGAGAGAGAGAAGGGGGAGGACGGGGGTCTGACTGACAGGGGGCCAAAGAGATTAGAGAAAGAGGCCAGCAATGTCCAAGCGCTGGGAACATCGTGAAGGGAGAGGAAAAGGGAAAAAGTGAGCCTGAGTCAGTGGAAAAGAAATAAAAGGCACCAAAACAATTAGCGGATGCTAGTTTAAGAGGAAAAAAAAATCTGTTACTACAGACATGGAAAGTACTGTAAGGCCAAATCAGTTGCATCCTGATAAGAGGACGCAGAGGGGGTCTGCTGAATACTGATATGTAGGCAGGATGAGTGCAGAGCGCCACAGGGTGCGGTGGTGGTGGTGGTGGTGGTGGTGGTGGGGGGGGACGTCCCTTTCCTGTGACCCTGCCCTGGTTTCCTGGGATTCTCCGCTTCATTTTTCCACCAGGGACACATTCCCTGCCACAACGAGCTGTGCTGAGGACCACAGTTAGACGATAATGACGGTTGCCATTTTTAGACAGCTCTTGGGGACGCCGGTACATCTGTCAGTCTGTCAGTGCAACACTTTGGTTTTTAATGGTTATTAATTTAACCTTTACTTATATATAGGTATTGGTCGAGATGGCAGCGTCCATAAAAAAACACAGATAACTTTAATTACCGCCTCGCTGTTGTATGCCTCTCACTTCATTCACTTCTTCACCTTGCTTTGTCTACGTAGCCGCGTGTGCCTTTTAGCGCATGTTTGTGCATGTTAGCGCGCCCCGCTACCTAGCTCACGGTCTGCACTTTGCACCGCTCTCATACGGCGGTTACAGCCGACGACGCCGGCCTGACCGACAGCACCGTCAGCGAGGTGTCCTCTGGTTCCCTCTCAGGTAAACACTGTTAGCTCCGTCAGCAGACTGCTTGTGTTGAACCACAGATTATGGTGGATTATGCCCTTAGAGTTTTCTGGTGAGAGGGACGTCCGGATTACTCTGAGTCTGCTGCGATCTGTTAATGCCACTGTTTTTCATTAACATTGTTTTGTACTACACTATTTTTCATAGTTTTTTTTCCTAATCTCGCAAATTTGTGAGTTTTTCTTGTAAATTTGCCACGTTAATCTCAGAGAATATCAGAGTTTTTTTCCTCATAAATTTACCTTTAATCTTGGAAATTCAGAGTTTCTCATAATATTATCTTCTCTGGCTCCATAATCTTTTTTTTTTTTAACCTACAATGGCCCTAATAAGCCGTCGTGGTAAACGTCAAACAACACTTTGAAAATAAATGTAAAAACCTGCTTTGATGAAATGTTGGAACGCTGCAAGCTCAAATCGGCTGTTCATTGCTTTTCTGATGTTTTGGCATTTCTGTGTGGATGGCACGCTTTTAAAAAACGAGATCAGAAAACACCAACATGAATGATGGAAAACATTCAACATGAAACGGTGCATTAGATGTCCTCTGTAGTGTAGACGGCGGCCTTGGAAACACATATCCGAGCAGAAGGAGCGAGCGGATTTTCACTCATGTGGACACACTCGAGAAATGAAAGGTATGTAGGTCAACAGCGAAGGCATCTATGTGCTGCCCCGAAACAAGCAGGGAGTAATGTACGATTATGTTCAAGTGGAAATCAGGACCTGAGCCGAACCAGGAGAGAAGCTGACAATCACTTCATATGTGTGTGTGTGTGTGTGTGTGTGTGTGTGTGTGTGTGTGTGTGTGAAGGGCTGGCGAGCTCACAGTGAAATGAAAACACAGGCACAGAGATAAAGGGGGAAAGACCAGTCGGGAAAAACAGGGTTTGTGAGTGTGGGGAAGATCAAGATGTTTTCTCACATGAACAATGTTTTCTCCTTCTTGTTTGTTTTAGGCGGGGTGTCTGAGTCTCAGTAGAGCGTGCAGGAGGCAGGACATGACGCAGAACACAGCATGATCAAGTAGCCTGTCCGAAAGTTGTTCAGAAGCAACAGATTCTCTTGAATTTGTCTGACGTTTCGGCGTCGGCCCTTAGCGACGGGAGTTCACAAATCTCTCCACAGTTGGACATTTTCGTTGGCGTCTTCGCGTAAACGACCCGTCTTCTTGCGTCTCGGATGTTTGTTTTTCTTTACGAAGACCTGCAAGATCATGCAGTATGCTTTAGGGCGGGGCTACCTTGTGATTGACAGGTCGCTACCACGGCGTTGTCCGGTCTGGTAGATTTCGTCTTCAAACTTTAAACCTTTGAAAGTGTGTTTTCGCTTGATGAAAGTTAATTGTAACCATTTTTGATGTCTAAAAATATTTAATTCTACGCGCCACCTTCTTCTGGTTGCACGAAACCAAGATGGCGACGACCAAAATGTCAAACTTGAGGTTTCAAACCTCGAGTCCACAAACCAATGAGTGACGTCAGGGTGACTACGTCCACTTCCTGTATACAGTCTGTGGTTCAGGGTGTGAATGAGGCTAAAGACAGAGATAAAGGGCAAGAATTGTTCTCTCTCTCTCTCTCTGTCTCTCTCTCTCACACACACACACACACACACACACACACACACACACACACACACAC